ATGCCCTCCATCCATTTATATTCCATGCACAAAGAGCATCATAGGTAGATAAACTTTGGAAATCCTCAGTACAAACCTGTCTCGCAAAGTAATCGTGCTGTGCTCTATCCAGCACAAGCGGACAATCTAATCGCTCATCTAATAAACTTACTGATAGTACTGCTCTATGCAGAAATGATCTACGTTTAGGTCGACGTGATGAAGTCTATGTTTGTTTATACTTACTTATATACTTATAAATAAAATTAAAAGACCCATATGGGATTTGATGTGATTTTGATATAATATGATTGAATATAAGTTGCCCTATAGGATATTATGACTTATGAGATATACTTCATATTCCCAAGTGCATGATATGAAACATCCGTTAAATGATTTTAAATCTGCTTATTTATCTATGGTATAATATGATATATATTTAATAGTTGGACTGATTTTGATAGAACTTTTTTTTAAAAATAGTGGAGTTTTTTAAGGTTGAAATGATATCAATTTATTTACATTCCCGGAAAGGAAAAGGGTTCCTGCAAAGGACTTAAGTGTGAAAGCCGGACTATACCCATACAATAATAAAAAATAGTCCTAACATTTAATGTACGCTTGTGCTAACTATATTATTGTACATATTTTTCTAAGTACCAAATACTGTAATTTTAGTATAACTATAATATTTTATTAGAGAAATGTATTTATTCAATGAGTGATATCATTTTGAATCTATATTTCGCAATCCAGTTGCAAATTCCTAAAGCCATCGATCATTTAACTCTTGGCAGAGCATCGCTGCCTCGAGGCGCTTGGCACAACTCCAAAGCGCGCATCGCTTAACATCATCTCGCAACTTTGTCATAAAAACATAAACTGATGCGACCGAATCTATCTGGTCATATTAAACCACTTACTCCTATTTCACACTTATTCGTATTATTATATAAAATATTTTTACTAGACCCTAAGTATTCTTTTCTTTCAACATTGATATCTCCACATAAATAATACATCGATTTGTAGTTATCTGTAAAAAGAGGAAAGGTGAACAGTTTGAAAAATTAAGGTCAAAAGTAAGCCCATTTCTAATTTAAAAAAAAAGAAATGACCAGATACATGTGAGGTCAGCGAAAGATATGTACATCCTGTGCAGGCCTTTACTTCACAATTAGCACAAAGAAAGGAATTTTGAAATATTATCATCTAAAAAGTTTTTGATGCCTAAGAGAAATTCCACTGCACAAACTTATATTTATTAGATAAACATTCTCCGGTGACTAGAGAGGTCGTCCTGCACCCAAGAATCGTCATAGCGTCAATAATTACGAAACCATTAATAAATTAAAAATTAGCTCTACTAGTGATAAACATATTGTAAGCTTTTAAACGACTACAGCTAGGCTTGCATATAATATGAATTAATTAGAAACATGCATGATTTTCATTTGTTCGATGATATTATCTATTGAATGAAGTACAACTATTGTTTCAGGTAGCCCAATGGTAACGCGCTCACTTTGTACACCGAGTGAAGCGGGTTCAAATCCCGAGTCTCGCACCTCTGATATTTTCATGTGCGAATCATTTCTAACATGATTACCACTTGCCTTACGGTGAATTAAAACATCGTGAGGAAACCTGCATGTCTGAGAGAACTTAGCAAGTTTTCGAAAGACATGTGAAATCCGTCAACGCGCACTTGGCCAGCGTGGTGGACCATGGCCTGATCCCCCTTGTATTAAAAGGGGCCCCGTGCGAAGCAGTGGGACTTAAAAAAAGAGGCTAAATACATACATACAACATAAATACACACACAATAAAATGAGATATTATGCAATAACACCCTTAACAGAAAAAGCAAAGGCGAGTTATACGTATTCTAATGCCAGGAAATCTCTATCGAGCCAATTTTTCGATTTGTTCACACAGCCGTCGTATCGATATGATTTATGAATAAAACGATTCCCCCATATGCGGCATGTGTTTGTATATGCGCAGATATGAAGCCTATACCGTTGTGTCATTTACAGTTATCGTGCATCTCATTTATCACAGCCTTTTTATGTCTCCTGAAGCATTAAGTTCGTTGAAAACATATTTGTTTTACGCTGCCTTCAAATGCATTACTTATTGATGGAAATGGTAAAGGAAGATTTATGAAGGAAAAACAGGTAGGGCAGATACGGGTTTCCATTAATCTGTGAAGGTCTGGTATTCAACGTGTAGCTAAACACAAAAAAATGCCAACGAGATACATACCCGACTGACAGGGTGTGGATATTTATCACAGATTTATAAACTTATAAATCTGTGATATTTATAATATTTTATGGTAATTTGGAATTAGTCAATTTCCCCAAATTAATTTTATATTAGGTATTATAAAAACTAAATTGTTTAATACTTTCTTAGATTTACGCGAATATTTGACCTTTTAAAATAATCAGTATTATTGCAGTTTTGTATTTTTTCACAGAAATGAGACATTTTTCCGCGGTAAAAAGTATCCTATATGTTATCATAACCATACCAAGTTTCATCAAAATCCCTCAAGTAGTTTTTCTGTGATGCGGTAACAGACAGACAGACAAAAATTCTAAAAACTATAGATTCGGCCTCAGTATCAATAATAATGTCTATTTCAATAAGATTTTCCAAAAAATATTTGATGTACAGATTCGGCTTAGTTACAATTTTATTATATGTATAGATAATAGTTTATACAGTGTTAGACCGATACGAATTATGAACCGTGTATAGTCTGTGCAGGACAACGTTACTCAGGATAAAGATGGGGCGCGCAATGGCGCGGTTGACTTCAGTTGTGAATATTGTTGTCTTTACTAAATAATATTCGATTAAGTTTCAGTTTATAAATAGACAGATAAATATTTTACTTATGATTATTCTTATTTATTTAATTGAATCCTTCCAGATTCCCTTTTTTAGTAACTTCAAGCAACTTTTTAGTTGATTGTGACGCGTTATTGCTCTTGCTTTAATGCATACGTGTTGCATATCAGATCTCATAGCGAAAGGGCTTTGCAACTTGACGAGCAATCTCGTGATACTAAGACTGCAAGCTGCCTACAAATGAGGATCTATGTGTGAGAATTATATCCGGATGGAATACTTTGCTAGTCATAAAGTAGGTAGTCATAAAGAAACGTGTTTTTTTATTCTTATCTCAGTAATTATATTTAATTTTAGTTTGTCAGATAAACTATAAAAACCATTCGTACCCCTTTTTCCAACATGGCGGCCGTGGGGCGAGGGCTTCAACCCCACAAATTTGGATTTAACTTTACACTAACCCCTCCTTGATATCTAAAAAATAAATTTGCGTCCTCTGACAAATGCAACCCCAAATGTAACTTTTCAATGGACTAAAAGGGCTAAAAAAATATTTTTAAATTTTGTTTTGATTTTTTATTAAATCTACATATTTATTTCATTCAAACCAGATAAACTTTATTTCTTTTTTTTTTTCATTAGAATTTATGCTAAGATTGCAAACGCAAATCTGTTTGATTTTGTCATTTTGTTTGCTGCGCAGAGACAGGGATAGAGATAGTTAATTACTAATTAGCCGAAGATTGGCACAGGTTTTTACTTCCACCCCCCCCCCCCCAACGTGCGTTCACCTTGTCGTGGTGGGGGGGCTCAGTAGTAGTAGCGAAGCTAAGAAACGCACAGGGAGGTTGCCCACTTCGGTGGGCGGTAGGAGGTGGCCTTCTTCGGGGGGCGGTATACCATGCGGGTTGCTCCTGGTACTTCTCTGATAGCAGATTGGACCTTGGAGCAACCCCATGGTTGTGTTGGTCTGCTTTGGCAGACCTGCCGTCGGGGCGTCGTAGTTGAATGCATAAGCGATCCTGCGACGCCCCATTAAGACGGGGGAAGGTTTTGTTGGGTTTTAGTGGGTAGTACTGGCTGTATTACGCCGGTGAGTCCCACACGTCGTGCGTAAATGCATTTCCCAACGTTAAAAAAAAAAAAAAAAAGGTTTTTACTTCCAAGGCCTTCCAGGTTAGGGCGAAGCTCAATTTTAATATAAATTATTTTGTTATTCCATTGGACTATTATATTAAAATCTACGAATAAATAAATTATTTATTCGTAGATTAAAATACCTTTATTTATATAAATAACTTAGGTAAATAAAATATTAAATATAAAACAATTAAAAGCGCATTCAAGTTTATTTTATAAGCTTTGATAGAATATTATTGAATGATTAAACGAGTAAATTTGTACCACCTAAAGTACAATTAAGTTTATCCCGGATTAAACAAAATATTGAGTTCTCGCGCGTAGCGTATTGCAAATGTGCAATATTTTTTTAAACTGCCGTCCGAATGAAAGTTGATGATACTATGTGACAAGAGGTATTAAAGCTTACTGCAGTATATATTGTTATCTATACTATCTATATTAATATTATAAAGAGGAAAGATTTGATTTCTTGTTTGTTTGTTTGTTTGTACTGAATATGCTCCGAAACTACTGAACCGATTTAAATAAAATTTGGTTAGAAGAATTTTTATCCCGAAAATCGTCCCTTGAAGAGGTGAAAATGGGGATGAAAGTTTGTATGGGGAAGCTACCTAGGGACGAACCCGAGCGAGGCTAGGGTGAGTCACTATTATACCTTACGTGCAGCAAGTTACATCTCTCCACGAACGCGGACACGCCGGCGTTACAGTTAACAATAGATTTCTTAGAAATTTAATTAATTTCTTAGAAATTTACCTGGAGGTGTTGACTACTCCCTCTTTTTTGCCCTCGAGTTCGCTTGCATATTTAGCGGGACGGGGTATCCTATGTCCGGGGATTGTTTTTTGATTGGCTTTGACTATTGGACTTCGATTCTTGCACTACATGTTTTGACTTTTGGCTTTTCTCACGGATTTTTGGATTTTTTGATTTGGTTTGGATTTTTGTTGTTTTTGGCGACATTTGTCGCGTCGTTTGTGTGTGTGCGAGTGTGTGCGGTTGGCGAATGAGTCATGGCTGACTCAGACGCCAGCGCGGACACAGATGCGTCCATTGGGCGCAAGAGAACGGCTGCGCGTCCTCCGTTAGCGGGCTCTACAGGCTCGGAAACGGAGACCGACGAGCGAGTACGCGCGAAGGAAAATAAGGCGCGAAGGGGGAGGCCCATTGGATCTGGGAGGGGGACGGTCTTGACCCGTGCGCGCGCACAATTGCGCAATATGGAGGCTGAGGCCAGAGAGCGAGAGTTTGAGCGCGCGCTTGAGGCGCGCGCTTTTCGGAAGAAGCCTGAAAAGGCGGATAAGGCGGGGAAGGCCGTTTTCGAGTTCGGCTCGGATTTGTCGGCCTCTGAGAGCCGGGAAGAAGGCATCTCTGCTAGAGATGTGCAGGGTCTGAGAGCGGAAGCAGGACGCAGCGTGACGGAGATTCTCCATGTTGCCAGGACCTCTGGCAACCTGAAGGGGGAATATGTCCGCCGTCTGAAGCTGGCTGCTGAGGCCCTGACGGGGATAGTGGACGCCCTGGCGGATCGCTCCTCGAATGAGGAGACGAGGAAGGTGGCTGCCGACAATGAGCGGCTGCGCAAGGAGGTGGAGAACCTGAAGGCGGAGGTTAAGGCGCACCGTCGACAGTTCTCGGAGATGAGGGCGAGTGCGCCGTCCTCCTCCCTGCAGGGGGATGTTTTAGAGGAGTTGAGGGCCTCTCTTATCTCCTCGGTTGGGGCCCTCATGGATGCCAAACTGGCCGGCATTGAGGAACGCCTGCTGCCGGCCAGGTCGCATCGTCCGCCTCTGGCAGCGGACAGAAGAAAGGAGGCAGGTGCATCTGCACCTAAGCCTGCGCCGAGGGTGCCTCAGAGCACGCCAGCACCGGTAGCGGCTGTGGCGGGCGAGGGTTCGGCGACGCGCAGGCGTCAGCCCAATGTGGATGGGACGGCAGCCCCGGTGCGCCCTAGGTCGGAGCCAGCTCCACCAGCCCCTGTGGCGGGACCAGCTCCTCCGGCCCCTGTGGCAGGACCGAGTACTGCCGGTGATGACACGTGGGCGACGGTGGTCCGCAAGGGCAAGGGAAAGGGGAAGAAGTCCTCCCCCCCTGCGGCCCCGGCTGCCCCGGCTGGCGCAAAGTCGGCGCCAAAGGCCTCTTCGGGCCCAAAGGCGCCTGTGGTGCAAAAGGCCCCTTCGGCGCCGGCTAAGCCCAAGGTTTCGGCCCCGCCGCGTACAGCGGCGGTTATTATAACGCTCCAGCAGGAGGCGGCGGCTAAGGGCGTCACCTACGCCAAGCTGCTGGAGCGCGCGCGGCAGGGCGTTGACCTGGCCCAGTTGGGAGTCACGGGGGGGCTGACGGTCAGGGTTGCGGCAACGGGGGCACGTTTGCTGGAGCTCGAAGCCTCGGCGTCACCGGAGACAGCGGACAGGCTGGCGGAGAAGCTCCGCCAGGTTTTGGATGGGGTGGCGACCATTGCGCGCCCCACCAAAACGGGAGAGTTGCGGGTGTGGGGCCTCGACGACTCGGTCACCAAGGAGGCGGTGGCCGAGGCGGTCGCAAGGGCGGGCGGCTGCTCATCAGAGGCCGTCTGGGTGAGCCGGGTCCACACCGGGAAAGGGGGGATGGGCACGGCTGTCGTAAGGTGCCCAGTTACGGCAGCTAAAAAAGTGGCCGACGCAAGCCGACTCCTGGTCGGGTGGTCGTCGGCCAAGGTCGAGGTTCTGGAGCAGCGCCCATTACGCTGCTTCAGATGCATGGGTTTGGGTCATACTCTACCTCGGTGCCCGTCGAGGGTGGAGCGGGGGCGCCTGTGTTTCCGGTGCGGCAGCGATGAGCACCATTCCGCTGCCTGCACCGCGAAGGCAGTCCGCTGCGCGGTCTGCGCAGATGCCGGGCACCCCTCTGGGCATATGATGGGTGGGCGAGACTGCAACCCACCCATCACGAAAGGCAAGACGGCTCTAGGGACCGGAGCCGTCGTCAGTGCCGGAAGCCGCCAGGCTGAGGAAGCGCATATGTCGTCATAATGGGTGACGACAAGCGCTTCCTACAAGGGAATCTGAACCACTCGGCCGGAGCGCAGGACCTTTTCCTGCAGTCCATGGCCGAGTGGGAGATAGGTCTGGCGGTGGCCTGTGAGCCCTACTTTGTTCCTCACCAACCGAACTGGGTGGGGGACTTAGAGGGCTCCGTGGCCATAGTGTCTGGGAGCAGCACCGGCCCCCGTCTCTCGGCAATCGAGAGGGGCCAAGGACTTGTCGTGGCAGGGTGGGGAGAGTACGCGGTGGTCGCCGTGTACTTCTCCCCCAACCGCAGTCTGGCGGAGTTCGAGATCTTCCTCGACTCCGTCCGCGCTGCGGTTTGCAGGCAGTCGCCGAGGCCCACTATCGTCCTCGGCGACTTTAATGCCAAGTCCTTGGCCTGGGGGAATCCCACGTCGAACGCTCGAGGGCGAGCCGTTCAGACGTGGGCCCTACTCTCCGGTCTGTCCCTACTCAATGTGGGGACAGCGTTCACGTGCGTGCGACAGCAGGGGGGGTCCGTGGTGGACCTAACGTTCGCCACCCCCGCCGTCGCACGCAGGGTGATCAACTGGAGGGTAGAGGAGGAGGTGGAGACTCTGTCGGATCATAATTATATCCGATTTGAGATCTCCACCCGTCCGGTGCCGGTGGACCGCCCAAGGGGGCCCTCTCGAGCGTTCCCGAGATGGGCCCTGGGCCGGCTTGATACTGAGCTGGCCAAGGAGGCGGCCATCGTAGAAGCATGGTGCTCCCAGGGGAGTGTGGTGGGCGCCAGCTCCAATGTTGAGGAGCTGGCTGGCCGCATGTGCGACGCCCTTACGAGGGTGTGCAATGCGGCCATGCCGCGGATCAGGCGGATCGACCGGCGTCGCCGGTCTGTGTATTGGTGGTCGCCCGAAATCGCACAGCTTCGGGTGACCTGTAATTGGCATAGACGGAGGTTTGTCCGGTGTCGCAGGAGGAATGGCCTGGACCCGGTTTTGGAGAGCGAGCTTCGGGCGGCCTACAGGTCAGCCAAAAAGGCCCTGCAGCTCGCCATCAGCCAGGCCAAGGCGGCGGCCCGCCAGGAAATGCTGGCGGGCCTGGATCGGGATCCATGGGGGCGCCCTTACATCAGCGCGCGGAACAAGCTCCGCGCGCATGGCGCCCCGGTCACGGAGACCATGCCGCCCGAGGTCCTCCTGCGACTGATCGGAGGGTTGTTCCCGGAGTCGTCTGGGCACGTCCCCCCGGTGATGGCTCCTCCCACACGCTCTGTGGGAGTGGAGGAATTCCCCCCAATCACCGAGGGGGAGATGGAATTGGCCCGCGATAAACTGCGGGCCAAACGGACGGCTCCGGGACCGGACGGTATTCCGGGGCGAGTTCTGTGCATCGCCCTGGAATACCTGGGAGGGGATCTTCGGGACCTCTTCAACGCTTGTCTTCGCGTTGGGCAGTTCCCGAAGATCTGGAAGGAGGGGTTGCTGTGCCTGTTGCCCAAGGAGGGTCGTCCTCTGGACTCCCCTTCGGCATACAGGCCGATCGTGATGCTGAGTGAGATGGGCAAGCTCTTCGAGAGAATTCTCGTTGCCCGTCTTACTCAGCATCTCGAGGAGGTGGGGCCGGGCCTTTCGGAGGCTCAGTTCGGGTTCAGGGCGGGTCGGTCGACCGTGGACGCCCTGAACGCCCTGAAGGTTCGGTCCTTGGCCGCGGTGGAGGAGGGAGGCGTGCTGTTAGCCGTCTCATTGGATGTGGCCAACGCCTTCAACACCCTGCCGTTCGAGACGCTACGAGAGGCACTTCGGTACCATGGGGTGCCTCTCTATCTCCGGCGGGTGTTGGACGCGTACCTCCGCGACAGACAGGTTGTGTGGACGGGGGCAGATGGGGTGGTCGGTCGTCGACGTGTCGACTGCGGGGTTCCACAAGGGGCCGTTTTGGGCCCGGTACTGTGGAACCTCGGCTATGACTGGCTCCTGCGTTGTCCGCTTCTCCCCGGGCTTGGTGTCATCGCCTACGCTGATGACACCCTCGTCACAGCCCGGGGGCGTTCTTACGAGGAGGCGGCACGCTTGGCCACAGTCGGCACCAACCTGGTCGCCGACCGGATAGGGATGCTGGGCCTGAGGGTCTCCGTCTCCAAAACGGAGGCCCTCCTGTTTCATGGCCCACGCAGGGGTGCCCCCCGCAACGCCTGTCTGCGAGTCCAGGGTAGGATGGTGGAGGTTCGGGCCCATATGCGCTACTTGGGCCTGACCCTGGACGGACGCTGGACGTTTCGTGTCCATTTCGCCCAGCTCACCCCGAGACTGATCGGCGCCGCCTCGGCCCTCGGCAGACTTCTGCCGAATGTCGGGGGCCCTGGATCTCACTGCCGGCGGCCCTATGCCGGCATCGTGAGGTCCATGGCACTGTACGGTGCCCCCGTTTGGATGGACGCCCTCTCCGCACAGAACAGGGCCCAACTGCGCAAGGCGCAACGGGTCCTGGCAGTGAGGGCGATACGGGGATACCGTACGGTGTCCTTCACGGCGGCGACACTTCTGGCGGGCGATCCGCCCTGGGAACTCCAGGCGGAGGTGCTCGCCGAAGTCTATCGGTTTCGGGCGAGTGAGCGGGCGCGAGGGGAACGTCCAGCGCGGGAGGGAGTCGCTCGGATCAGGCGCCTAGCTGACGAGGCACTGATCCGGCGCTGGTGGGAAGACCTGGGGACTCCAGCGGCTGGCCGGGCGACGGTGGGGGCGGTTCGTCCGTTCCTGTCTCGCTGGGTCAGGCGGCCACACGGCGTCCTGACGTTCAGGTTGACGCAGATGCTTACCGGGCACGGGTGCTTTGGTAAGTATCTGTGTCAAATTGCGCGTCGGGAACCGTTGCCCGTATGCCACGAGTGTGGTGCGTCCGAGGACACCTCGCACCACACCCTCGCGGTATGCGCCGCTTGGGCTCCCCAGCGCCATGCCCTGATGGCGGTAGTGGGTGGAGACCTGTCGTTGCGAAGCGTGGTGGGGGCCATGCTACGCGACGAGAGGTCCTGGTCGGCGATGGTCTCCTTCAGCGAGGCCGTCATCTCACTGAAGGAGACGGCGGAGAGGGAACGCGAGGCTAACGCCTTAGCAGACCCTCTTCGTCGCCGTCGGCTGGGGGAGAGGAGGCGCCGGTACGCGCATCTTCTCCCGCCACCCTAGAGGAGCTACTGCGGGGGGGTCTCTCGTTGACTCCCCTGCACGTCATCGGGGCGGTTGGGATGCCCTGCGAACCGAGGGCATCCTGATTTAGGCGAGGCAGGCCCGCGGGGTACGGGCCGTCCGCAGGGGTGTTGCAGTGAATGCGCAAGCGATCCTGCACACCCCATTGCACTGCGGCGACGGGTTCCGCTGTGGGTTTTAGTGAGTAGGAGTCTCACAGTACCCTACCCATTGAAAAAAAAAAAAAAAAAATAAATTAAAAAAAAAAAAAAAAAAAAAAAAAAAAAAAAAAAAAAAAAAAAAAAAAAAAAAAAAAAAAAAACCTATGTCCCGTCCGTTACCATGATGCAATCTATCTCCTTACTTAATTTCTTCATAATCTCTTCAGTGGTTTAAGCATGAAAATAGAACAGACAGAGTTACTCGTCACATTTAAAATATTACTATGGATATCTTATAAATGTATATATTATTGAATTTAAGGAAAGAAATTGTTATAAAAATAATTAAAAAGGAATCTTAATAATTGTTTAAACGTAAATATTTCACAATCGCTTCTATTGTCTATGAATTTATATAATACACTGATTTCTTAACAATTTTTTTTTTTTGATGTATAATAACATAAATATTTATATAAGTTTATAAATGATGATATATCCAATTAATAAACAAAGAGAAAGATGCGTAGTTGCAAAAAAATATACCAAAACATACATCTTTTATATTCAAACAATTCGTTGAACTAACAATAAAGCATTTCTCTCGTTTGTCTAAAATTTAAATAGCCGGGATGTAGTTGAAACCAGGACAGGACACAAAGGGCGTAGCAGATAAACTATGTAAATCCTTCAACAACAAACCTCGCGAACGATGCGATGATCTCTTTCGTGAAAGCGGACAATTCATACTATCAAAATGCTACGCTAATGTCTAGTGCTATTCCATCACTTAGCTTTACGTTATTTTCTTAATACTTTAAAATTTTGTGATACATTTTTATCCGTCTGTCTGTCTGTATGACACAGTCATATTACTCGGAGATTACTTAAATATAAAATAAAATAGTAACAAAGCGAAATCTGTACATGAAATATTTTGTAAGAACAATAACTTACGTATTGTGTGCAAAATAAAGTCATCAAAACAGTACTTGTTGATCTTTTGTCTGTTCGTATAAACACTAATAATTTATCACATAAAGTGTACCTTTTACGTGGACTTAGCCGTGGAAGCGTTGCCGGGCCCGGAATCCTTAATCCTGCGTAGGCACTGATCACTAGGCGTGTTTGTGTGTATGTAATGTATAAATATATAAGCACACTAGCAATGCCCGCGGCTCCGCCCGCGTTAAGATGACCAAAAAACAAATTCTTAGGTTTTACATACTAGTATACTCTTACATTGTAGTTTTTGTATTTTTTCTCAATAATGAGATATTTTCCCGCGGTAAAAAGTATCCATAGGATACTTTTATATGTTGACCCGGATATATACTTATACGGATTGTATACTAATATTATGTTGTTGTTAAGGTAAGTCTGACTTTTTTTACCTTTTCACGTATTAACTGCTGAACACATTTCGATAATATTTAGTAAAAACAACATGCGAGCGGAGCCACGGGTTAAAACTAACAATTTATAAACAAAAACACACCTTTAAGCAATCTACAAAAATGATATAAAAAGTTTTTTTATTGACAAGATCTATCTTATTTACATAGATTCAAAGAAGAAAGAAAAATATTTTTATATAATCCATACAAAACTCTTGTAAAGCGGTAGAATTATAGAAGTTTGCTTTCAATTTGATTAAAACTGAGATTGACCTGAATTACTTTTGTTGTTGTAATACCTTTTCTAAAATTATACTAAACGATAATAACGATATATATTCAGATAAATTTTTATTATTATATCTAAACAAATAAATAAAATTTAAGTGTCTACTTGTAATGACAAAATAAAAGATTTTTACTAAATGCATACGAAATTATATACGTTACTTATAAGAAAAACATAATTTTAATTTTTTTCGTCTATCTGTCTGTCTATTTGTTCCGGCCAATCTCCAAAATTAAACCGTACCTATGGACAAGCCCGAGCGAGGCAAAGTAGTATATTTCTCTAGTTTTTAAATAATCTTTTTAATAAAGCTTACAGGATGCTTCCTATAAGTCACGCAAATAAGTTTCGAAGTTTCTCTCGCGAGCTGCTGTTGGTCCTTTTGATTACATTTTCAGAACATAAACTTCTTAATTTAAGTTCTGGTGAAATTAACTAACTCAATATATTAAGCTTATCGAAAGATAACATCTTATCTCGACTGATAAGTAATAGGGGCACAGTGCATTGGATAGTTGCTACATTATGAGAATAAATCTGAGACTATCAAGATTTCTAATCTAGATAAAACTTGCACAGAATATTTACAGAATTTTTTCTTTAGTTTTATATTCGACATTTCTATTTTTCATGTGTATTTATTCAACAAATCATATTTATTACGGTTCTCAAATCCGGTGAGCCTTTTCTAAAACATAGAAAATCTAGTGACTCTATTTGCCTATATGCATAAATATGTGAGTAGGATTAAAAAAGAAGTCTAACTTTGTTATATTTACACTTTTTAAGATTCCGTGGCCAAATGTATATATGTATTTAAGAAGATACTTTGAGTAGTTTTTTAGATAAGGGATGTATGCACTGCTAAACAAAGGCCTCCCCCAATGAGCGTCCTGAGCAGCCTGCATCCATTCACTGCCAGCTACCTTTCTTAGGTCATCTGTCCATCGTGCTGCAGGGCGTCCTACACTACGCTTGCTTAAACGCGGCCTCCACTCTAGCACGTTTCGGCTCCATCGACCAATTGAAACTGAAGACTACCTAATAATAATTAATGTCCTCCTGAACGATTTCGGTTTTGCCAACTATTCTCACTGAGACTTATCAATAGTCATGTGCACAAGAGATGTTAAAGTGCAACAAATAAGTGATCACGCAACAACAAATGCATACTATTCCTTTAACTCTCAAACATAATTCAATTCAATTCTTTGTTATTTGGCTTTTAGGCGTACCAGTTGGGCGCAGATTACTTCACCATCAACACAATCGGTATGACGTTTGTCGTTGTTGTCAGAAGAAGTTATTCTTACCTTCAGCCAGTTACTGAGAATTTCTTGACAGAACAAATCCAATAACTATACTTGGCCCGACCCGAGTTTTGAACCTAAGTGCATCCGTAAGTTAGCCACTACGAGTATATTAACGAGGTCGTAAAACTACCTGCATTATAATTAAACACACCTATTACACCATACACACTAAAAAAATTCAGTAAAAATAATTAGATAATCATTTGAGGTATAATTGGAACGGCAAACTTCCTTGAAGGTAGGATTTAAGGATTCCAAGAAAAATCTGCTAAGTGAAAAAGTTTGTTTGATCAAGAAATACGTTCGTTTTCCACGTGTAGCAAGAAATAGGCCAGCTATTACCGACTGCGGCGAAGTCCTAAAGAGGGTTATATATTTGACCCGCATGTATATAATATGACCAGTCCTATGTTATATGGCATATTAAAATTACAAATTTAAAATATTTGGCGATAATTTGAGTGCCTTAAAAATAATTGAGTGGGCATCAAATTAAAGGTTTTTTAAGAGCGATTACAAAAATATGTAAGTATATATATACAATCTATATGCTTAAAAACAATTTGCGTAACAAATTGTTGAATAAAACTCCCATTGTCTAGTTGACCATACCTAATAATAATAAGCTGTAGAAAAAAATAAATTAGAAAAATAAAAAAACCAGACAGCTAACTTAATATTAATTTATAATAATTATACTACATACATACATGCTCGTAAATAAGTTCCTGTCTAAACACGTTAGTTTTTTACGCGGTCTGTTCTGTTTTTTTAATTTCACTTTAAATATACTAATTTTATATAAAATTGTCTAAAAGGCTTTTCCTTCTCAAGACTAAATTAGACGGTCTCATGACAGGAATACACAAGTACAAACGTGCAAATACCCCTAACTATACTTTCGTAATTTATGTTAATATTCTAAATAAGATTAGTTAAACCTATTTAGCGCTAGCTGTACCATGCAACTTTATCTGTTCTCCATTCACCATTTAGTGCTAAATCGAAAGCGTTTTACAAAATATTACGAGCATTGTCTTAATTTTAAGTGAGGATACTAATAATTTCCACCAATTTTGCTTTTGCTACCGCTGTCTTTTAAGACAGTGGTAGCAAAATGGTAAGTCGGTCGCTTGGAAACCATGTGAAGCGGGTTTAAATCCTGTGTCTCGCACCTCAGGCCCGGATCTAGGGGGGGCAAGCCGGGGCCCATGCCCCGGGCGGAAACTTCAGGGGGCGGCAAATTCATACATGACAGACGAATACACAACTCATCATTAACGCAACTTTAACCACTGAGACGTCCAGTACTTTAAGTACAATAATAATAATTTTTGCCGAGCCAAAAAGAACTTATCTATACATATAATAAATGGTAACTAAGCCGAATCTGTACATTAAATATTTTTTGAAAAATCTTATTGAAATTATCTTTATTATCGATATATAGGCAGTATCTATATTTTTTCGAACTTTTGTCTGTCTGTCTGTTACCGCATCACGGAAAAACTACACGAGGGATTTTCATGAAATTTGGTATGGTGATAGCTGGTTATCCGGGCCAACATATAGGATACTTTTTACCGCGGGAAAATATCTCATTTCTCAGAAAAAATACAAAAACTGCATTGTTAGAGTATACTAATATGTAAAACCTAAGAATTTGGTTTTTGGTAATCTGAACGCGGGCGGAGCGGGCAATGCTAGCCTATACATAAAATAAAATTGTAACTAAGTCGAATCTGAACATTAAATATTTTATGGAAAATGTTATTGAAATAAACATTATTATCGATACAGAGGCCGAATCTATTGTTTTTAGAATTTTTGTCTGTCTGTCTGTCCGTTACCGCATCACAGAAAAACCACTGGATGATCTAATTTGGTATGGTGATAGCTGGTTATCCGGGTCAACATATAGGATACTTTTTATCGCGGGAAAATATCTCATTTCTGGGAAAAATACAAAAACTGCAATGTAAGAGTATACTAATATGTAAAATCTAAAAGTTTAGATTTTGGTCATCTGAACGCGGGCGGAGCCGCAGGCAATGCTAGTTTTATATAAATTCATTTTTTCGCGTGGCGTGTGGGCATAGGTCTACATCCGCGCTGATAGTCCAGCCAAGTGGCAGTCTGCAGCCTTTTGTTTATCAGCGTGCGGCCGAAAATGCTCGCTGCAGCACTTTTCTACCTTCAATAATTTTTTTCTCAACATCTATTAGTGATAGAAACTTCCGGTTTGCTTCAGTTTGTTCAATATTGTTTTCCCAACGCATACATACTAAATAATTTGCTGTTAATTGCTTAATAAAGCTGTTGGACCGATTTAAATGAAATTTTGCATGGTGGTACCTTATGTTCCAGGTAAACGTTTAAAATACGTCTTTTTATCCCGGAAAATTAAAGAGTTCCCGTGGGATAGGTAAAAAACTATAGTAACTTAGACAGCTTAGTACACAAAACTACTGATCGAATTTTAATGAAACTTTACAATAATGTAAGTTCATACATCCGAATAACAAATAGGTTATTTTTTATCCCGGAAAAATGTACGGTTCCCTTGGGATAGATTTGTTTTTGTTTGTTTATAACGCATTATGTACACAATATACACCCAAAACAATAGTTATTAAAATTTTTGTCTGTTTGTCTAATTGCCTGTATGTCTGTTGGTCTGTTTTTGTGTGCGGGTTTCTCGCGAAAAGTAATGAAATGATTTCAACGAAATTTGGTGAAGTGATAACTTATTACTCGAGTCATCATTTAGGATACCTTTTACTTTACGAAAATCGTTGTTTCCCACGGGAAAATAAAATAACTGGTTTTATCGAGTCCTCCCTAGAAACCTTCCGCTGGTTAAATATTACTAAATTTAATAAGTTGTGTGTGCCATAGATTTGTTTGCAGAACAAAAGGCTCGAAAAGTTAAATTATAATTTCAATTTGCAATACAATAATATACTAAATTGATTTTTATTTTTAATCTTATCTTTAGTGCTATCCTAAATAATAAATATGTCCTACACGTCCATGTACGTACGTACTTTTGTAAACTATCACCCGCGGCTTCGCCCACGTTCAAAATACAAACAACATATTCTTCTTTCTCTTCCCTTTACTATAATATATGAAATTCCCTTGGGTAGTAGCATGATTATACATATATAGCCTATTAGACTTCCTCAATGAACGGGCTATCTAATGCAAAAAGAATTTTTCAAATCGGATTAGTAGTTCCTGAGATTAGCGCGTTAAAACTAACTAACTAACAAACAAACAAACTCTGCCTCTTTATAATATCAGTATTGATAAATAGGCTTAACACAGAAACAGCAACGCCAGATAGGTTTTTATGGCATTCTTTTCGGCAGGCCTATGTCCATTAGTGGGCGTCTGATGGCTGAAATGACGACGATGATAAAGGTACAAATATAGACGGACGGGGGCGGCATTTTTCAGTTTTTGCCCCGCCTCGAACAAATTGAAGATCCGGGGCTGTCGAACCTCTAATATTCTCGTGTACGATTTATTTCCAACATGATACCTTTACATTACTACTTGTCCTACGATGAAGGAAAACATCGTGAGGAAACCTAGTAAATTTTCGTAAGACATGTAAAGTCCGCCAACCAGCACTTTGCCAGCGTGGTGAACTACGGCCTGATCCCCTCTTGTTGAAAGAGATATTGCCCAGTAGTGGGGCGTTAAAAAGAGCTGACACATATATCGTCTTTACGAAACCGGCCTGAACAATATATAAAATTCACGTATCACAAACAAACGGTTACACAAAGGGTACAAAGAGGTTTGTAACAAAACTCCTCCGAAACAGCTTGACCGATTCTAATGAAATTTTGTGTGTATATTCAGTAGGTCTGAGAATAGAAGGTAAACTATTTTTCATACCCCTAAGTGACAAGGGTGATCCACCCAAAAAAAATTTTTTTTTCGACAAAATTTTTTATTTAAATTTTTTTATGATTTGGCATTAAAAATACATACAAATCTAAATTTTTACTAGGGATGGACCCGAGTGGAGCGAGGGTGAGTCGCTAATATTCGATATATAAATTCGCTTTATGGCTTATAAAGTATCGAACTTGTAACTTTTTCTCATATGACCCACTGTGTCCCCTGGATAATAACATTCTAACTTATTCCATAGCCTATGGCATAAAATAGGACGATACTTACATTTTAGCAAAGAATAAAACAATCCACAGAATCAAAGTTGTACCAAAAAGTTATTTTGATTCTATTTCCCTTATATTGACGTATTTAAATACTTCCACAGTACCTTTAATCGCCTACTTTACAAAGCAATCCCATGAGCCCTCCTATACGCTTATCCAAGCTAGCGTCAGCGTCCGGAGCAAACATTCAAATTGAAATTCACTTTTTCGAATAAAGGTACAAAATTATATGGGACTGAACCTGGAGAGAACTGCGAGGGTCGAGGAATGTTTAAATTAAACTTGTTTGAATTTGTGCCAAAGCAAACATTTAAATCTGAAATCAATAATTGAGGCGTATTATATCATGATTATGTTTAGACGTGCTGCCTCGGTGGTATAGTGGCTAGCATGTACGGCTGCACATCCGGAGGTCCTGGGTTCGATTCCCGGGTCGATTTGTAGACAAGTTTTTTGTCGAGTCTTTATATTTAGTAAGCCTCAGTAACAGCCCGGAGTTGGGAAGTTGGCGGTGTTTCACCCCCGTGCCTCGGAGAGCACGTAAAGCCGTCGGTCCTGCGCCTTAACTCTCACTGGTCGTGTCGAGCAGTCGTCCCACCGGAGTATGAGAGTGATAGGAATAGAGAGTGCACTTGTGTCTGCGCGTACACTTGAGCACTATAATATCTCCTGCGCAGTTGGCTAATCTCAATGAGATTGGCCGCCGTGGCCGGAATCGGCTAGGAGAACATCATCATCATCATCATCATCATCACCTAGAGCAGGATAAAAAAGCCTAAGCATTTATAAAATTACATTAGTAATGATGATAATTATAAAGAATTATAAAAATATAAAAATATTACC